CTTTCTCCCAGTCCAAAGCTCATAAGGTGTTTTTCCAGATGCTTTTGTTGGTACTCTATTTAGAATGTAAGCTACAGTCTTTAGTGCCTCTCCCCAGAGTGACTCCGGCAAGGTAGAATGACAAATCATACTCCTTACCATATCTTTAAGAGACCGGTTTCGTGTTTCAGTAACACTGTTCATGCTAGGCGATCCTAGCATGGTGTATTATGGGACGATTCCATATTTCTCTAGGTATTTGGAAAAAGTCCTTGGACGTTGTTCACCTGAACCATCACGGTCAGATTTGACTTTCTTAATTCTTTTGTTGAGTTGATTCTCAACTTCAAACTTAAATGATTTGAATATATCCAATGATTGAGACTTTTCATGGATGAGAAATATTATGCATATATAAAATAATCGTTTATGAATGATATAAAATATTGTTGACCATTTCAAGATGGTGTAGAAAATGGTCCACAGATGTTTGTATGTATTAATTCTAAGACATTTGTAGCTCTAAGTGCACCACATTTATTTGTTTTAGTTTGTTTACCTTTAACGCATTCAACACAAACATCAAAGTTTGTGAAGTCAATGGAATCCAAAATTTCATCTAACAATATTTGTTCAATTCTATTTTTAGATATGTGACCTAGGCGTTTGTGCCATAATGATCATGAATTGTTATCATTAATTTTATGCTTAGTACCACGTGATTCCACATTCAAGGATTCATCATAGGCAGCTATTGTGTCAAGCAAATATAGATTATCATGACCCATAAGTGAATCAGTTCCAACAATATATGAAGTAAAATATAACTTGAAAATATTGTTTCCAAATGAACAAGAATAACCTGATTTGTCTAAATAAGAAACCGAAATTAAATTGACTAAATGAGGGAACCATAAAAGTGTCTTTCAAATCCAAATAAAATCCGGTACACAATAATAATCTAAAATCCCCTATAGTTTCCACCTCCACCGACTTTTCATCTCCAACATAGATGTATCTTTCAACATCATTTTACTTTCGGTATTTTAGGAAACCCTTCATTGAAACACTGATGTTAGTAGTTGCACCAGAGGGAAGTGCGGCCCTAGTGGTCGTTCATGGTTGAACGTTGATTGAACTCAGGCCTCTGGCTAAGGCTTCAAAACATCTTCTTGCCGCTTGGATGTCCCCATGGAGGGTGGCGACCAAACCCTCTATAGTGTAGTACTTCATCTTAAGGTGCACGATGGAGGGCACCACGATCAGTTCGGCAAGAGTGGGACTCCCGAAGATGCATTGGTAGAGAGACGGTCAATCCACTACTAGAAATTGAGTCTTGATGGCTCTGGCGGTCACTCCTTTTCTGAAGGTGAAAATTAGCTCAACATATCCCCAGGGTTTGGTGCTAGCCCTGTTGAAGCCCCAGAGATCTGATCCTATATACGGGGTCAGGTGGCTTTCATTCAGTTGTAGGGTGGCAAACAACTAGGTGTACATGATGTCTACCGAGCTACCATGATCGACCAGGATGCATCAAACGTCAAAGTTCGCCATGTTAGCCCTTATAAGCACTGGGATGGTCGAGTTGGGGGCTCTGTCTGGTAGTTCCTCCCTGTAGAAAGCGAGGGGATGAAAGCCTCCTCGGAACTTGTCCAGCATGGCGTCCATGTCAAAGTTGGCTTTGATGAGTTTCTTGAATCTTCTTTTCACGGATTCTATCGTATGCATGTTGAATCCCCCGACGGAGATGACCATAGCAGCGGAGAATGACTCCCAAGGGCTGTGAGAGGAGAAATACAATAGAACGTTCCCCATATCTGGGAAGTAGAAATCTTCTGGCCGTGAGATGCTCATGGCGACCGATATTGGTGCTGATGTCGGGGACTTCTTACCCTTTTCAATTCTTTTAGCTTTTGGAGCCTCTTCATGTGTATCCTCTTTCTTCTTGTATTGCCTGAGGTGCCCATATCGAATCAGTATCTTTATTGCATCCTTGAGATGGATGCAATCCTCGGTATTGTGCTCGTGGCTTTTATAGAACCTGCATTATTTTCTCTTGTCAGTTTTGGGTTTGGAAGGTGTTTGTCTGTGAAAGCGTACCCCAACTTGTTTGAATTTAGAATTGGCATAATCAAACAGAATACTCACCCTCGAAGTAGTTAGAGAGGTGTAGTCATGAAACCGGACAACAGACCCCTGGTAGTCCTTGGAGTCCCAGGATCTGTCTTCCCGTTTCTTTTCTCCCTGACGAGATGTCGAGGGCACGTCACTTCTTGATGACTTGGTACTTTCTCTATGACTTGACTCCTTGGCACTATTGGAAGCTTCTTTCTCCTCGTATTATATGTATGCTTGATCCTTGAGGAGGAGAGAGTCGAGCGTGGCCGGTGATTCGATGCCCACTACTTTAGCAAAGTCGCTGCGGGGACGGAGCCCGCGCTCAACAAGGTATTTCTTCATGGTGTCGGTCATGGAGACTTGTACTGCTTCCTTATTGAAGCGCTCGATGTATGCTTGTAGAGACTCATCTCTGTCCTGGATGATTTCTTCGAGAGAAGCCTCTAATTTTAGGTATCTACGGGAGGCGGTGAAGTGCCCCGGGAACATCTTCCCCAACTATTTCCAGGAGGTAATAGACTCGTCTGGGAGACTTTTGTACCAAGACATTGCTATTTTCCTCAGGGTGGTATGAAACAATGTGTATTTGATGGCTCCCCTGGCCCCTCAGTAGTTGAGGAGGGCGTCGATATTCTCTATGTGTTCATCAGGATCGGTCGTACCATCATATGTTCCCAGCGGGGGTGGCTTTTCCAGGCCGATTGGGAGCTGGGCTTCTGTAATCTCTCTTGATAATGGGCCGCGGGGCTCGTCATCGTCGCTTTCTATGGAAGATGGAGACGGAGAGTGATAGTTCCTTCTCCGTCGGGCATCGTTGTCTCATCGGGAAGAAGGACTTTTCCGTTGATGTCTTGGCTTGGGCGATGGTGATCGACCTCGGTCAACTTGGGGGTCGCTCTTCTTCTTAGATGATGGAGAGTCTCGATCTTTCGTGGGAGGTGTGCGGTTGCTTTTCTTGAAGAAAGAAACGTCGTGCCTCTTATTTCTTGGCGAATGGCCACGTCTAGGTGGAGATATGCTGGGGGAATCTCGTCGTCGGAGTCTCCGAGGAGGAGATTTTGACTGCTTCTTCTCCCAGGCCCTTATCTTCTTATTTTGCTGCATGATTAGGGTGTTAGTCTGGTTGATGGCAGCGAGCAATGTTGTAATGGTCGGGTCAGCACTGTGAGGAATGGGAACTTGTTGCAGAATCTCCGGCAGTTCCTCGCTGGGGATCTTGGGATTCTTCTCGTCCAAGAATTGATGGTCATTGCACTGAGCGTCGACTGAATCTAGGGACGCAGTCTGGCTGTCGCGGAAGCCGAGGTTATTCTCGAGGTGAGGATGTTCTTGACTTTCGCCAGTCTTATACGCTGGGGAAAGTGAAATCTTTCCAAACGGGTGGTGATCATCACAGTCAACCATGATTGTTGAATGAGGAGGATCTTTGGTCTTCAAATTCTGGGGAATAGAAAATGGGGAAGATAGTTTCCCACAGATGGAACTGTTGATCTTACCGATTGATCAGAACCTGCAAGATGGTCAGATGATGATCTTTAGTCGGGCTGGAAAGTCGAGGAGAAAAAGAGGGATTGTACATGCAAGGCACTCCGACGATCAAATAAGTGTGGGAGCAAAGAGATACAAGCAGAATATTAGAGTTTTTGGGGGGTGAATAGTGAATATTCGATACCTGGCCCTCACATATGTGAGGGTTTATATAATGCCACTGGCGAATGACCATTGGTTCCTATTTTTGGGCCTAGATATGCGGGTCCGTGAAAATAGGTAACTGCCAGGACTTGGTCATATCGGACAGATGTGCCCGCAACTAACCGTTAATTCTGAGGAGGAGGTAGGTTACATGCAGTAGTCTGGTCGATTCTTGTTTGTCTGAACGACTTGAGGTCGGACAGACTGAGAGATGCTCGTCAATCATCGTAGATCGGTGCCGATTCAGAAAGACAAATGATCGATGGTTCCCGACAGAGGGCGGGGGAGATTCAGACAGTAGTTATATAGACTATATCGAAGGAGAAGTTTAGACTGGACCTACTATGACTGTCGGGCCAGTTCAGAACAACATCTATTTTAAATTTGAGAGCGATTTATTTCAAGATAAATAATAAAATGGAGATGAGAAAGAAAATCTTTAAAATAATTTTGATAAAAAAATCAAAATATATTTTACTAATCATATACTCACTTGACAGTCAACCTTTAGATATATGAAAAGATATATTAGTTTTATTGTATATAATAACTTTTTTGTTTAATTTATATTGCTAATGTACATTAATAATAGTTGATTAATATACACCGAATTAATAAACCTATACACATTTTAAAAATATCCAACTATAATATATGTTATCAATTCATTCTATAATATATCCAACTATAATATATATATATAGTGTAATTAAAAATATTTAAACCTTATTATTGTATATTAATTATTCTACCTCTCCATTAAAATATATTAAATCGAATAACTAACAGAGCTTTTGAATGGTCTTAAAAATGATGTTGTTAATTAGATATAGATTTTATACATGTTAAATTCTAGAAATTAAGGTAAAAAAATATACCAGGAATAATAATTAATCAATTTGAATGATAAAATAAACAGTTGATAATAAACGAGATAGTATATAGAATATTATAACTGAAAATATTAATTAAGGTGGTAGAGATACAGTAGCATATAACTTTTGTCCCAAAAAAAAAGAAGCATATAGTACATGAATTCACATAAACTATAAACTATATCTAATGTGCACATATATACTACATGTTTAAAATATAAAATACTAATTGGTAGCAATCATGGAAGGGTGGGTGAATGGACATCGATTGTCGACACGATAAGGAACAAGCTGTCTTCATATAGAACAGTAATCATCTTTCAATTGATGGACATATCATTCCTCTTGTACAATCTTCCTGCCTATTATCTCTCTTTCTTCAAGGCTTCGGTAGATATTGTATTTAGAAATATACACTTTGGTGAGCGGATCAGTTAGGAGCGATAGAGGTGATGCGGATTGGATTGTTAGTTGGACATATCCTTTGGAGGATGATAACATAGAGCTAGAGAGGCGCATTAGAGATATGGTGGGGAATATCATTTTGAAGCAAAACGTCAAGGATAGGTGGAGATGGTCTAATAACGATTATGTGGTTAAAGTTGCATACGTGTCAATTATGAATGGTTTGGTTGTAGGAAATAATGAGGAAATAGCATGTGCAATTTCTTGGAGTAAACTTGCTCCTTTAAAGATGTCTACATTTGTGTGGAGACTATTGTAGAACAAAATTATGATAAAGGATAATCTAATCAAAAGAGACATTTTAGTTGTATCTCAAAATTCTTGTTCGTTTCGCTGCAGAAAAGAAGAAAATGTGGCTCATATTTTCTTCGTATGTCTGATAGCCTCCTCGATATGGAGCGAGATCTTATGATGGCTAGATTTATCTTCTATTCTTCACAATGATGTTTTGTAGAATTTGTATCAGTTCCGTTGTTTAATTAGTGGAGGAAAGAGCATCATAGAGAAGGCCACCGTCATTTGGTTCGCGTGTGTTTGGAAACCGTGGAGGTACTGAAATGAGAAGATTTTCAGGAATGCAATAGGAGAAAATTCAACTATCTTTGAAGAAATTCTAATGCTATCATGGAAGTGAATCAAAAGTATGGTTGCCGGTTTTAGTTTCGATCGCAATCTTTGGATGGCAAATCCAATGGAGTGTATTAAAGAAATATCTATTTGACCATTTTCTGAGCTCCATCAGCCTGCATCTTACATGAGATATTTGAGTTTCTTGAGGTTGTTTCTGTTAGGATTAGCATACTGAGTCGGTTCTGTCGCTTCTTCATCCATTGTCGCTTCAACAACCTCTTTTGTCGCACTTGTTTGCATGTTTTTCTGTAGTGGTATCCCTGATCACTCGAGAGTTCAATGAGTTGCATCGTATTGTCTGTTGGACTGGTATCTTCTAGTTTTGATTGCGATATTGGACCGTGGAGCTTTTTTCTTCTGAATGTCTACGATTTATGCAACAATTTTATTTTGGAAAAGGAACAGGTCATAGTGCTGGCTGTTTTTTAATTTCAATTGTGGTGCTTAATCGATAATACTTTCTCATTATTTGGAGTCATTTGTGGAATCGGTTTCCGGTCGATTGGGTCTAGATTGGTTGAGTTGTTTACATTGTGCAGCTGTCTGTTATTCTTGGTGTGGAGAGGTCTAATTTTTCTGGTTGTTATGTGATGTATCATATTTGGGCATTGGTCTGGTGGTTGTCTTCATAGTTGAAGTTTGTAGAGGTGATTAGTTTAGTTCTGTTTTTTTGTAAGTTTTGGATCTGGTTCTGGTTGGTATACTGTAATTGTATTTTCTCCTGGTATTTATTTCGCCCCATTTAATTTAAGTACCTTTTCTTTGGCCTTTCAAAATAAGCTAAGAACACGCAGTGGAAAACATTAAAAAACCTTATAATTTTCTACTAATTCTTTCCGTCAAGTCTCATTTTACCGAGTGACCAACCACCTTGCCTAGATTACCCTCTTGATTATAGGCTTACATTCAGGTATGTGCAGAAAGTTTCGACATTCCTCATATGTATTCAATTGATCCCTTTAGAAAGCAATGTCAATGCGTGCTCACTATCCTGTGATACACTTAAGTGTCTAAGATTCACTATCATTTTCCCTTATAGTGTGCCTTAAGATTACTCATGATTCTCAATTTACTTTACAATGATTAGACAAAATATCACACATTCATACAAGTATTTAAGCGAGTTTTCATTTTTACAATACTTGTAATCGATTACAGACTTGCTGTAATCAATTACAAACTTGTTGTAATCAATTATATCATCAAACAAACCAGATTTTACATGTTTAACACACTTATAATTGATTACATGTTAATTATAATCGATTACAACCTCAATCATGTTAGTAATAATCGACTAAAACCTCAATCAGAAGTCCAAAAATTCATATTTCCATAACTTTCATCAATTACAACTTCCCTATAAGCGATCACAAGTTCATCCAAAGCTCAAATATTTAGGTTTCTTACACCTATAATTGATTACATAAACAATGTAATCGATTACAACCATACATATAGTCAAATTTATTAATTTTTCATGCATTTGAACTAGCACCTTATGTTGTCCATCACCACAATTAGATCCCAACATAATTCCAACCTTTTATGAATGTTAAAACAAGCATGAAATCATGAAGACACAATCAAAATATAATCAAATCAAATTCTAAGCATGTAACCCAATAACTTCATAACCTAGGAAACCCATTTCCCTGCATGAAACTTCTATATTAGTATACCCCAAGATTAAACCTAAGAACCCCACCTCAACAATGGAGAAATTTTGAATTTGATAGGATGATGTTCTCGATTCTCCTTCTCTTCAATGATCAACAATCCACAAGCAAAATGGAGCTCTTCTTCTTCACATGCAAGGTGGATCCTTGAGTTTGATCATGGAACTTTCTCCTCTCCCTTGATTCTTCTTCTCACTCTTCTACTTCTCTTCTTATCTTAACTTTCTTTCTTAGTTCTGATTTGGAAAAGTGAAAATGAGAAAAACGGTGAAGCTTCTCAGAAAATTTGGCATCTATACTTTCCAAAAAAATGACCAAAATTCCCTCATATTTAACATTTTACCAAAGGTGACCTTTTATGCTTCTATCTTAGAAAAATCATAAGCCTTACTACTAATGTTTAATTAATCTCATATGAAACATGGTCTAAGATGAAATGGGATGTTACAACACCCCCTTAATTAAAATCTCATCATCAAAATTTAGAGATTTACCTAAAGATGTGTGGATAGCCAGCTTGCATCTTTGCTTCCAATTTCTATGTGGATTTCTCTGGGGTGAAATTCTTCCCACTTCACCTTTACTCAACGACATCTCCTTGTTCATTAGATACTTCACCACATAATTCATTATTTGACCCGGTTGTGGTCGAAAGGTGAGATCCGCTGTAACTTCAAATGTATCTGGAAGGATATCCTGAAATGAATATGGCATAAAATTAAAAAGTGGAGATACATGAAACATATCATATAGCCTTGACGAGGAAGATGGAATTTCCAACTAGTAAGACACTTAACACACTACTTATGATATGGTAGGACCAATATATCTTTGAGTCAGTAACAAGCTCTGGTAAGAAAAATCTCTTGCGGAAGTCTCCAAAATGAAGATTTTAGAGATCAAAATCTCTATACTAGTGAAGTATTTAGGAAGCTAACCACTATGATTGAATCCCTTGCGAATCACAATAAAATATTGGAGATTCAAATCTCCCAAGTTGGACAGTAACAAGCTTCATCTTCTATCACTTTAGGATCCTCTCCTAAGGGATATGTGAATGTTGTGACAATCAGATGTGGTAAATAGGTTGAGAGTTATGGGGAGAAAGATAAAGAGGTTGAGGAGAATTCTAGTAAGAAAATGTAAAGATAAGGAAAATCTACCGACACCGCCTGAAAAGGAAGTAGTCTAAGAGGTAGAGAAGGAAGAATTGTATGTTGCTCCTCCTCCCTATAAGCCACTGATTCCATTTCTACAAAGATTTGCGAAGGCTAGGGTAGATACTTAAATTATGAAATTTGTAGAGATGCCAAGAAATCTTTACGTTAATGTGTCTTTCACCAAAGTTCTCTCCCAAATTCCCACCTACATTAAGTTACTAAAATAAATACTCTCTAAAAAGAGAAAGTTAGAAGAACATGAACTGGGGAAATTATTGCTTTTAAGAGGGGAAGGTTGACCTTTGATATGGGGAATAAAAGGATTGAATTCATAATGACGAGTCTCCTGAAAGACCCTTATAAAGTGATTTCTTACTATTTAGTTGATGAGATTAATACTTGTGATGAAACCAAATTCGAACGGACAATACTTAGGATAGAACCAAAACCACCCCCGCAGGTTTAGAAGTATGAACCATCCCATATAAAGAAGAGTAATGAATACGAGAGATGGCCAGATAGGTGGGCATGGATTACTAGGACCTCTAAGTTTAAGGTTGTAGGACTAACTTTGAGGGAACCACCATGAGTGCTTGCACTCATGAACCGTCGAGCTAAATGACGTTAAACAAAGCACTACATGATAGGTAACTCACAAGCTTGTGTGATTTCATCTTTATGTTGTTTGATTCTTTTTGCAAGAATAAAAAGAAAGTAACAAAAAGAAAGACTCCTCCTACCAGGCGATATGCGTCAACAAAGGATAATCAAGAAGAGGTCGATCGTTTAAGCGGAGAAGATTATGTTGCACTTTCCACCTCCGCGAAGAGGTCTTATGTGAGTTTCTCTTTACCCTTTATTTTCTTATTCTGGAACATCGTGGCCAATGTCCGGTTTAAGTTGGGGTTATTTCTATTTTGATTTATTTTTACCGCATTTTGTGTGTTTGTTTGAATTTTTAGTATATTTTTTCTTTTTCTAGCCTTAGGTACATTGCTTTGAAGATTCTCCCAAATTTTGAGTCATTTAAAAAAAAAATTCAGAAAAGCATTAGATTATGAGAGAACTGAGAAAGTGAATAGAAGGAATTAAATTTTGTGTTTATGGACTCCATGAAAGTTTGATAAAATTAGTATTGCTTGAACACCCTAAGTATCTTAGTAGGATACAAGTTTAACTTGTATTTTGTACCATAGCCTCCAATTTTGAAAATCACTTCCTAAGTAATTTATTTTTAACAGTCTCACATACCATTGATTCAAATATCATGTTTGATCGATTGGGGAAAAATAATACCAAGAAGATTAAAAATGGCGGTAAAATGAAATTGCACCTATTAAGTTGGCTAACCCTTAGTAGGTTATTCAACCCAATGAAAAGGGAAATAATAAATAAACACACATTTATGTGTACTTTCATCTGTAAATAAAAATCAATTAGTTTGCTTAGGTGCTGTAAATACTTAAGTAAAATCTTTGATCAATCTTGTGTGTATGTGATTGTTGTACCCCAAAATTTGCCCTCTCATATTCTTCAAAGTTTTGACAAGCATCATCTCAATTTGCTCAAGTCTACTCAAGGGTTGCACAGTTCAAACCATCCTCCTAAGCTAGTCAAAATTAGGGTTTTGGTTCTTGCAAGGAAGTTGAGGTTTTCAAGGGCTCAATCAAGTCCCATATGCCTATACACATTGTCAAGCATCCATATGCCAAGTTGCAAGTCTCACAGCATCAAGTTGCACAGTCAAAAACCTTAATTGCTTTACAGTCAACTGTAGGGGTAAAATGGTCATTTGGCAGTCAAAAGTCAAAATTTTTGGTCAACATCTTATTTTGAAGCCACAATCATCATTTGATCAAGTCTTGATCATGATTCCATAAGAATGGCTCAAAAATCATCAAGATGCAAAAGTTTCCATTTTTGGACAGCTAAAAAGTCAACTGTAACTTGACCAAAGCATAACTTTTTCATGGTTCATCATAAAAATACCATCCAATGCTCATTTTGAATGGGATGACATTTCCTACAACTCATCTTCACATTCCAAGTCCAAGAAATGCTCTCACAAAAAGTTATCAATTTCAACATTATAGGTCATTTTCAAAAGTCAACAAAAAGGCATTTTAAGTCAAAGACCATAACTTGAGATTGGTAAATCAAAATGACATGGGACTAAAGGAATTGGTTATAGGACTTCAAGACCTTTCCAAAATGTCCAAGAACATGTTCATATGATCAAAATTGAGCAAGATGTGCATTGGAGAAGTTGGGAAATATTTGTGAAATGGCAAAAGTCAACTATCCTTAAAACTTCAATTTTTGACAAAAGGGCCCACTTTCTTCCACTTGATTCAGCCTTGTCATGCCACCCATGTGTCCCATGATTAATTTCAAGACCATATCTTTATTTTTTCATTTTTATTTAATTTTTGTGGATTTAATTCATTTTAACCCATAATAATTTAAATAAAATCAAAAAAGTTAATTAAATGGTATCTTGTGGTTTGAATAGCCTTCATGAAGCATTTTCTAGCTGCCAAATTCGTGCAAGCTATTTTTGTACACAAAATCATGGTTGTTGGACCAAGAAAGGAATGTTCTTCAATGGTGGTCAAACAAAATCCAAAACATAATGGCACAAGTTTAAGGCTCCTAATGTGACTTAATTCTCATTGATACATACATATGCAAGCAAGCCATATAGCATTCACGACCTAGAGTGTGCACAAACGGCCAGAGCAAAGTTCAAGATTTGTCCAAAAAGTGAGAGTTCTAGAACAAGGTTGCAGGCACTTTGAAATCAAAAGAAGCACGTAGTCTTCTTCATTGCCATACCCTGAAGCTAAAGAGACCCTTGCCAAGCCCTAAGATCCATCATACCGCGCTGTAAGTATTCACAAAGTCACCCCTGTACACGAAATGTGAATTCTCCATTCTTGCATTTTTCCTCAAAAATATTGGCATGGTTTTGTTTCTTGCTTGATTTCTGATCTAATGACAATAGCCAATTTTGTTTTTAGGCTTTATACTGTGATACACGATTCTAGGTTTTGCTTGCTTGTTTTTTAGGCGTTTTCAGTGCAGGAAAAATTGGCCACCATAATGGGCATAGAAGTGATCAGGAGATGGAAACGAAACCAACCATGGTTTTGGAATTAATTTTGGAAGCCTATGGATGATTTTACGAAAGGCCTATGAAACTTCTTGCGGATAAAATCCGCAGGTAAAAAACCTACAACTTTGATGAAGAAGATGATTAGGTGTTACAGCATGATTGGCCCGTTCAAAAACAATCGCGCGCTTTTTTTATTTATTTTCAGGCATATGTTTGTTTACCAATATAATAATCATGTTTTGTTTTAATAATAACTAATACACGCAGCTCAGTTGGTGGCCATGCTATTTGAAAAGGTTACAGGACCTGGGTTCGATTCCCAGGTCCCCCCAAGTCTCAATATTATTTTTTCTAACAAATTTCCATGCAGCTTCCTAGACGCGTTCCACCATAGGCCTCATACAGATGCGCGCCAAGTGTCTCAAAAGATCAATCCAAAGGCCAAAGGGTGCTCCACACCATGCTCCCTGGTCAACGCGCCTCTGGACGATTCAAAAGTCAAAAAGGCTTGAGACAATGGGCCTAAATTCCTGATTCACCTCCCTAAGGGTCCAACACCCCCTGGGTTCTTATTTTCTTTTCTTTTTTCTCTTTTTATTTTCTTTTCTTTTATAATTTCCCTTTTATTAATTATTAGTTTTATTAATTGTTTAATTAACCTAAATAATTTTTTTTCCATAAAATTCACAATAAAACCAAAAAAAAAACATTTTATTATTTATTAACTTATTTTGTAAATAAATTCTAAATTAATTAGTTGTGTAATTAGAACAATTTTAACATTTCTTTTTAATAAGTAAAATTAATTTAGAATTAGGTCTTTCATTTTCAACTTTTAATTTCTTTTTTTATTTTATTTCATTAAAAACATAAAAATACAAAAAAACATTTTTTTAATTAATTGATTAATAATTAGTTTTAAGTTTCATTTAATTACAAAAAAGGGATAAAATCTCATTCTTATTCAAAAAAGGGTCAAAACCCTCATGACGTCCCGATTCAATTCTTTCGCGCGCAGTTTATTTTAATTCAATATTTTATATTTTTGTATCTGCTCAGGAAGTGTAATAATTAGAACTTTATCGCTTTCTTTTAAATTCTCGCACTTATTTTCCAAAACGGGTTTTTGTTTTTGGCGATGTATAGACCCGCGCCTTGTAATAGTTAGATTTACATTTCTGCAATTTATTTTCCGCACTCCTAACTGCTAAAAAATGCATGAAAGAATGTATGAATAATAAAACCAATCCGTAGCTCACAAATAACATGTACAAGACAAACATTAACTGAAAAACAACACACAAAGCACATGCCACTTCTAGGGTACGCCTCACTGGTTGCCTCGAACGTGGTCATCAAGTATAGGGTGTCTTAGAGGTCGCCCTCCTGTCTAAAGATCATGTTGCCTCGAAACGGTTGCCTCGGATAAAAAGGATCTAGGACATTAGGGTTACCACTAAGGTGTCCTACCATTGCTTTGGTGACCACACATGTCCCTTAATCGAATTGACCCGAATACCTCCAACGATGGTGCTACCTACCTCTCAATGGTGGGATAGCACTATCTAAAGGACTCTTACACAGCTTAATTCTTTAGAGTAGGTAGATTTCTCTTAAGTACTTGCTCTTTTCAAAACAAACAAACAAAACAACTTTTCACTCACACTTTCTAAAAGTTTTTCAAACAAATTTTTCATACACTCTTGAGGACTGATACAAGAGTTACTTAGAAATTTTTCAAACGAAACTTTTTCAAAACCCACACACACTTGAAAAGCAAACAAATTTTGAAAACATAAGAGCAAGTACCTAAGAGCCCATGGATAACCACGGATAGAAAGGGTGCTAACACCTTCCCTTTCTATAAATCTACCTCCCGAACCGAGAAACGTTCTCGAATAAGGAATTTTGTTGTGCTTTTGTCCTTTCCATGTTGGAGAACATAAAAGACGGTGGCGACTCTTGCTTACCGCGA